CACCATGTAAAGGAAAACCAGTGCCACCTGAATCCCATTCCAGAGCTCACATACTAAATGGATGCTTCCTGGTGCTGGGGCTCAGGCTGCAATGCCCACATTGCTTGCTTGGGCCAGTCCCAGGCTGTGTTGCAAGTGGTGGCTGCTCAGGCTGGCATCACGGTTTGACTTAGCCTGGATGGGTGAGGTCCCTCTGTTCAATCAGGCATGGGGCAGGGGGGGCATGGACCAGCCCTGCATCATTCATCTTGCCTGTGGTACCAGATGAATCTGACACCCTGGCCTAGAAAATTATGCCAAGAGATCAGGTATGGGGGCTGAACATAGATCTTTTAATGTGTTTCAGATTTTTAGTACCTTTTATATTTTGGGTGAGTCAGTTTCTCTGTTCCCTGGCATCATTAAGTAGGGATCAGGAGGAAAACAGGAGGTAACATAGCTATGCAGGTAATATCTAGTCTAAAGTGTAGAAAATTAACCTCTTAAAAATGGATTTGATAGGATGTATCCATTTAGTATGAGAGTTCTGGAATGGGACTCAGGTGACACTGGTTTTCCTTTACCCAACCTGGCCCCATGGATGGAAGGGGGCATGGCCCAGTCCCAACCTGACTTCAGATCAAGCTGTAATACAGGGCATGGCCTGGCCCTGATCTGGCTGCTCAGGGGGAGGGGGTGTGGCCTAGACCCATGGGGAGAAGTGGGCATGGCCCATGGGTCTTGGGAATTTGATAGCAGGGAGGGTGGCAGTATTAACTGCCACCGTCTCCCATCATAAAATTTCCTAACCCATGGGGAGCACAATAGCCTAGATGTCACAGCTCTGCAGGCCAGAGACTGAGCACCCCTGATCTAGGCCATAGCTACAGGTACCAGGAAGTGGCAAAAAACCCTAATACATTCAACTCCAAGGAAAAACAAACAAAATACTGAACTGTAGGGTGCACTCACCTCTAAGCAAAGCACTTCTACGTCACTTTTTTTTGCATGGAAAATGAGGATTGGGACTTTTTGCAGTCTGGAAAAAATACTTCCTTCCCAAATGCAACCAAAGAACTGTCTGTCCTATACAATGAGCTGGAAATAAAGTCTCATAAAATTGTCTCTGCTGCTGCTTTTTTGTTTATGGACACTTGTTCTTTTACCCACATCAGCCCTTGCTTTTGGGGCAAGGGGAAATCTTGGCCTTTAAAGCAATAAACTCTCTATTTTTACTAAGCTGAGTTTTGAAGTCAAGAGTCTTCCCAAAAGGCGCTATCATATTTCTGAGAGAAATAACAGGTGATGTCATATCCCTCTATCACTGCAACAAATGTGACCAGCTGTGGCAGTAGAGGCTACCTGAAATGAAATGAGGGACTTTCCTGCTGACATGCTTCAAAGACCTGAGTCCTAAGGGCCTTGACTAAGGCACTCATTGCATATATGGTCTCTCTAAATCTCCCACTATAAAATCATGGTGCCCTGGTGAGAGGAGAGAAGAGTTCTTGTCCACTTACCCAAGTCCTCGGCCTCTTTTCCCAGACTACCAAGGATGCTAATTGTAACTGATATTCAAAACAACCTTCATTAAAACCATCTAATTATTGGAAAAAAAGGTTGTTGCACAGATGTTATATTTACAATGCAAGAAACAAATGTGCAGCTGACTGCATAACAAAAGGCAGGTATTTTGAAGAAGAATGTATTCCATTTGATAGGTTTTCCAAGGCCACCAACAATTCGTTTCTATCAATGCAAATTTTCCATTAGAAATGTTTCTGGGAGAGAGAGTAGTACAGGCATTCAGTTTACAACTGCACCCTCTCCCCTCTAACTTGTCCTTCATCAAACCAGGGTGATCCTGGTCTGGGGGTAGTTGGGAGGTGAGGGGAAGGGGCAGCGGCTGCTCCAGTCTTCTCATTTCCAAGGGGGCTAAAGCAGTGGGACAAAAACTCCACACACTCCTCACACTATGGTCCCAAGCTGCTCCTTCATCTGGTGCCCAGGAGCTGAGTGGACTGAGCAGCACAGCAAAGACCCTGCCCACTGTTCACACTGGGGACAATAGCCTGAGGAGTGGCTGGGGAACAGTGGGTGGCTGCTCCTCCTCTCCGTTCCTAGTTTATGGGAGGAGCAGGAGCAGCTTACCCCCATGCCTTCTCCAGACTTAGGTCTAGGGAAGGCAAAGAAGCCTTTCTTCACCATTCAACTGCTTCCAAAACTGGGAGAGGGCAAACATCAGCTGCTCCCCTCAGATTCCCAAAACAGGGGTGACCCCAGTCTCAGAAGATGCAGAAAACATTTTCCTGCTGCTCAACTCCTCCTGATCCCCAGAAGGGGTCAAGCAGCAGATAAGCATTTAGGCATTCTTCTCCTGGGAGAAACTGTGAACACTTGCACACATGGTTTCTACCAGGAGACCTCTGCTTCTCTCAGTAGATACATAACTCCTTATTTGGCGTAAGTCTATCCTATCCATGCAGCGGTCCAATAAAAGATATCACCCACAAAAATCCTTGTCTCTTGCATATTTCCTGGACCATCATGGCTACAACATCATTCCAACACTACCAACTGGAGACAATAGTCAGTCTTTAATAACCATGGCAATATTTAAACAAATGTCCTATGGACTGGATCCTTTAAATTTTTATCAAACTACCTTATAATAGTAATACTTCACACACATATACCATTTTTCATTTTTATGGAGCACCTGACAATTTAGATAATAAATACCAGAAAAATAACAAGTAAAAGAATTTTAAGAAACTTTAAAAAAATTTAAAAAGATTAACACCAAAAAATTCCAAGTCAAAACTGGCTTCTTCCCATTCATTCAGTGTAACAGCACTTACTAGTGTCACAATAATTTATTTTGAACATTTGCCTCCAATTTTATTCAAATAGGAAGGATTTCATGTATCTGTCACCCGTGAGACAAAGACAGGAATATATGGAAAACTTGTAAACTACACCCTACCCTCAACACACTTGTCAATTAATGAACAAGAACCGCTAAAAGACTTTTTTATATTTAAATCTTCTTGGTGCTTTTTTCTTCTTTCAAACACCATGGAGGTAGAGCAAGGATTTTCTGCTACATTTAGTTGGGAGCAAATTTTTAAAAGAAGTTATAAACCCCTGAACAAAATTTATCAAAGCCATGTCAACCCTTCCATGAATTCAGCAGTCCAAAATGTGCCACTTTATATTGTTGGTAAAATGAATGGATTTCTCCTCTGGCTGGGAAATTCTCAAGAAGCATCTTGTCTCCCACATAAAAGGGTTATTTATTATAGCAGTTAATACAGTCAGGAAACAACGTCATGGCCTCATGTTAAAAAAAAAGTCAGCATCAAAACAAAGCCTGGCCCCTTTGCAAGTGAGCTCATGGCACTTTTCACTCCATTTCTGTTTTATAGTATGTTGCTATTTCCCCTCCTCCCCTAACTTTTCGCAAAAGTACCTTGCAGCAGCCAATATGTGGCACAGCTTAAGTACTTACTTGCTCTCTTTCCCCTCCTCCCCAAATTTCCACAGAACACATGGTTTTAATTATACACTGTATTATACACAAACGACACACGAGAAGGCTGTGCTAACTCCAGCATCTCCATGCTTGTGGGAGCTGAACTTGCAGTCACACTATCCAGCCTGAAGGATTTCTGTTAGAGATGGACAAGCCTTGGCAGGGCTGGGAGGGGGGTGAGTGACAATCTGAATATCCGGCTTCTGCTTACTGAGGAAAAAAATTGCAACAACAAGGGGGGTGGGGAAGGGAGACAGGGAGGTGCATCTTACACAGGCCTATTTGCTGTGCATTGGGAATGCAGGCCAGTGCCGACCAAGTACAGCTAAAAGCCCCCCTTCATATGGGGGCCACTAAGTGTACATCAAGTGATCGCGGGGGAAAACTAAAAAAGAAAACAGGGACGGAAGTGAAGGTTCAAAAGGAGCACAGCGAGGGGCGGGGAGTTAAATTTTATTTACATTTTCCATATTCCAAGCCAAATTAGCCAAAACAAATTCCAAATCTGAGTTAGTCCAAAACCATAAGTGGCCCTACTACTGGCAAACATCCTCCACCCCCATCTGGGGCTTCAGATGTTCCCAAAACCTTTGGTGGGCACCCTACTTGCAGGCCCAAGCCTGGAGGCCTGGGGTTTGATGCCCCCCTGAGTTTTGCTTGCCCTTAGCCATAAGGTCCCAGGAGCAAGCTAGGGAGAAGTCTCCCATTTCCATAAAGTGAGCATAAAGCCAAGGTTAACTATGCATTACCTATGCAGGTACTATCCCACGCCAGCAGAGACGTCTTCCCCAGGTGCAGCTAGGAAGCCAAACACACCACACAGCACCCACTGGCCCAAGGGGCTGGCCCATAGGACAACAGCCCCCCAGTCGCCAGGAGACCCCAGGCCAGAGCCTCCCTCCTGTTCTGGCCGATCTCTAGTGTGTCCCATGCAGGATGACGACTGTCCTGTCACTGAGTGGCAGCACATACTCTCCTGGCTCTTTCCTATAGTCCCCTCAGCTGCTTGGCACCAGCACCTTGGCAGGTCCCTGCTGCTCTTGTTTTCTCTCCGACCTGACTTCTTCCCTCCCGCCGCCAGCCGCGCCAGGGACAGGGAGGTGGCCTCCGCGCCCGCCTCACCCCACACACAAACTCCCTTCCTAGGAGCTGCCAGCGGCAGAAAGGCTCCGGCGATACTTTGTCCCAGGAAACAGAGCAACCCCCCGGCAAGAGGCGCACGGGACAGAAGGGAAAGACCCTTCCCGGGGTGGATTGAGCTGGCCGGGGGTGGCGGGAGACGCGCCTCGCAGCCAGGGAAAGGGACCCCCCCCACACTCCGGCGCCACAGCTCCAGCTCCCTCCGTGCGGGCAGCGGGTGGGACATGGCCGGGCACCGCCTGCGCTTCCCGCTCCGCAGCGGGCACATCCCACGCGCCTTCGCGCACGTGGGCGCACACACACTAGTCCGCCCCGACGCGGGTGCACGCCCCGCCCCGGCCCGCACCTTTTGCTGAGCGGCCGGACCCGCACGGCCACCTTGACATTCGCCATGTCCCGCCTCAGTCCGAAGGAGAGAAGCCGCCGCCCGCGCCCCGGCTCCGCATCCCAGCCCCGGAGCGCCCCGGGGAGGGGAGGGGAGGGAGAGGCGTCCCCGCCCGGCCCCGGAGGAGGAGGACCCTGGCGTGCCCCGCCCGAGGGGAGGGGGCTGCTGCTGCGCCCGCGCCGGGGACGCCGCACTTACTTGCAACCCAAGAGACTCCCCCCCCGCCTTCGCCGGGCCTCTTCGCCCCTTGCCCTTCCTTAGGTTCCCGGGGAACCGGGCACAGGCCTATTTGTGACCTTTCAAAACACGGCCACGGCCCACCCAGTTTCTTACTAGCCTCCCTCAGGCGTGGAAGCTACAGGGAAAGGGGCCAACAGGTGCAGTCTAAAAGGGGTGCTTGGGGGGAGGGGGCTGACCCCCCTTAAGAGACAAGAGCTCCCCTGTAAGATCTGAAAATCAAACCTGGGGACTCTAGTCCATGGGATTGCTCCATCACTTAGGTGGACTTGTTAATCAATGAACTGGTTTAACTTAGTGTGAAACCCCGCCCAAGGGTCGAAACGTAATTCCAACCCTGAACAGATTCCCTGGGACAAATGACAGCAGTGGGGACAGGAAGCCAAGGCATTGGTGAGCAGGCATCCAGCTCTCAAGTTGCAGCCACAGCCTGGCTCTGATAAGATTCAAGGACTGTTGTGGATGGCAGCTTGTCTTGAACCAGCTGTATAGTTGGGAGGGATGGAGGCAAGCTTTGAGGTACCAAATACCTTTTCTCAGGTCATGACTATACCATTGGTGCAATAAAAAAAAACTATCACCCATAAACATCTTTGCCTTTTGCATTTTACCTGGACCATCGCTGCCAACCAGGGGTGGATCTAGGATTTTACAAATGGAGGGGTGCAGGTGATGAGGGGCATCATCACCTATAACCCAACACATTTTTTCTTCAGGCAAGAAAGAAACCAGAAGCTTCACTAGGGGCTTAAGGCTGGATTATTCAATTTTAAGATGGAGTCCAAAAACAAATTTAACTTTATAGGAATGAGTTAAAAACAGTGTGCAGGCCTTTGAAATAGGAGCTACATTACCAGGAATAGATCAAACAGACAGCAGGATTGCAAAAAAAAGGGGTAGTTTGATTAGTGGAACATCAAGAGCATTAAAAAGGAGAGAGGGTCATTCAAACACCTGTGGAATTAATAGTTGAGAAGGAATCAGGTAGATTTTAATGAGCCGTGAATTGACTCCCTTGCTGCTGCCTGAACAGAAATACTGCTGCCACTGTGGGAAGTTGGCTTTAAACTCTGGGTGAAGCAGGATTCAAAGGGAGGTGTAACTGCACCAGTGCATCCACCCCTGCTGCCATTTAGCCCTGACTCCAACAGTACCACAAAGAATGGTAGAGTCCTTCCCATGGGCTGCTGACATGACAGAGGCTTTCACTTCTGGCTGCTGCCTGCTAATTTGAACTGTGCTTATGATCAAGCATGTTAATTTACAAAAATTATTATTCACCCTCAGTGGCTTCCTTATAAAGTATGTCATGTTTGGAATCAAAATTACCAACCCAGTCCTGTATCCAAAACCTGACTGCGGCTAACTGAGGGAATACATCCCTCAGATACACCCTCTTCCTTTCAAGCGGTTGGGGCCAACCTTTTGGGCAGGTGTGCCACAAATTAGCCCCACACCAGCTCCGAGTGCCACTCGCATTTGCTTCCCCTGCCTGATTTGCTGCTCTGTGTTCTGCATCCTGCCCTGTGCTCTCTGCCTGATTTGCTGTGCCTCCTGTCCTCTCAACTAATCTGCCAAATGCTACACAAAGAGGCTGTCTGTGCCACTTGTGGCACAGGCGCTACAGGTGGACCACCCCTGCTTTAAAGCATCAGCTACTTGCCACTATCAGAGACAGGATACAGTACTAGGTGGATCTTTGAACTGAAGCTGTATGGCAGCAGCTAGCCATGTTAGTCTGTAGTCATGTAGAAAGCAGGGTAGATCTGCACCTTATAGAGCAGAGGTGGACAATTATTTTGGGCAGAGGTCTGCTTACTGAGTTTTGGCAAGCCATTGAGGGCCGCATGACAGGCAGCCAGGGGCAGATAAATATTAATTTTCTAAATTTTTAGCAGTCCCACGGGCCAGATGGAATGGAGTAACCAAAGTATACAGTAACCAGTTACACGCGTGCGTGCACGCGCGCGCGCACACACACACACACACACAGCATCTGATAAAATGAACTACAGATCAAGAAAGCTTGTGCTCACTTGTTGAAGGTGCATGCTTACTCATGCTCTCTCTCTGCTTTAGTTCATATTTATAACATATTTGAGGAGGACAGCAAACTTCCTAACACTTGCAGCTGTGAAACAGTAAAAGAGCTGTAGAGCACAAAACTTTAAAGATATGCATGCCCCATTGTCCATGATCCATGCACAGAAGCCCAACTTCAAAAGCCACATTTAAATTGCTCAGGAGCTGCCCTTTGCCCATGTGTGCAAGATGCCATGCTCACAGTCCCTTTTCTGGCAGTTGCAAGAAAAAAACCCATCAAAATTGGTACTGCTGTCCCTGGGGAATGCCCATGCCACATGTGCTTTGGGGCCCTGGGGGCCTCCTGGAGCTGCAGCTGTGGCAGAAAGCCTGGCTGGCAGCTGGAGCACAGCTCCAGTCATCCAGATTCTGGTTTTGGGCAGTGTGCACTGCCCCACTTCTTTTCAGTGTGAATTTTTTTGACCTTGGGTGATCCCAGAGTCAAACTGTACCCTCCCCCCGCCCTCCCCATTGCAAGGTAGCAGTATGGGGAACACCTGTATGTGTGCTTGTCTGGACGTGGCCATAGATTTCAAATAGGAATCCATAGGGTTAAAAACACCCTGCCCTGTCGTGCTCTTTTTCAGTTCTTTGCAACGAAATAATTACTCTATTATTTTTCTGTAGTTAAAAATCAAGTGAAAACTAAGAGCTGACATTTTCTAAGGGGTGCCTCAATTCTAGCGAGGGGTGCCTTGAGTCTAAAAAGATTGAAATCCACTGGCCTAGGCCATGGTCTGGTGATTAGGACACTTTACTGGGAAGTAGGTTCAAACCTAGGCAAGTACCCTAATCACTAAGCTTTTAAGCTAAAAGATAGGAAGGCCACTATCCTCCTGTTCTCTCACACGTACTAGTGAGGCTTCCTCAAAATTAGTTAATATCTAAAATCTGCGCAAGTGGTCTGAATTACCACTTGCACAGCTAAAGTGGGCCATGCAAGTACAACTTGTCCATCTAAAAGTAGAATACGATTTGGGCTTTCAGTGGCATACAGTCTGTTAATGTAATCACTCATTCACATTCTGGAGAGAGAGAAAGAGAGCATGTGCTCACACATGTGTGGGAGCTTATGCACACATATATGCATATTTTTGCTATTTAAAACTTTTCTCCAGGAACACTGCACTTAAATTCCAAGGTGATATCATACTTGATATCAACAAGAGTGATCAGTCACGTATTTATTGCATATTTATAAGATTTTTGTTCTCAGTTCAAATAAATTACACATGTACATTGCTTTGCCATTTAACTGCAATGCAATTCTATTCACAGTGTAAATACGCATACATTGTCTAACTGAAGTTTCTCTCCTAAGCACACTGCCACAGACTCCTGAGCCCTAAAAAGCACCTCTTAAAAACAGTTAAACCTAATTAAAGAGTTAATATCACAATACAGACAATTCTCTGTAGAGGTCTATATGTCTGGCATACAGGTTCCACAGGTTTTTCTGGCTCATCATCCAAACAAAAGATTTAAAACTGACCACCCAACCAGCACTTGTCATTTTCTGCACTATTCTTATCCTTGAACATATGGATGAGTTAGTGTGTAAATGCCAGTGACAAATAGGAAAATATAGCATTACTACTTTATGACCCATTGTCCTTTTACCAATAATTGGGAAAAGCCAAAGAACTGATGTAATCATTTGTATATGGAATGAATATAGACCATTTTAAGGATTTAATAATTATTGCTGTAAATGAAGAACAGCCCATAACTGTTTTCAGGATTTTCATAATTAAAATGAAATACATTTTTTACCCCAAACTACCAGCCAATGTATCAGAGCAGAAAGAATTAGAGGGAAACAACAGGTCTGTAGTGTAAGTACAATACTGGAGTCAGGAAACATGGACTCTGTGCAGACTGACAGTGCGACTTCAGAGCAGATCACAAACTTGTAATAAAATCTTGGCTTCGTGGCAGTCAATGTAACTTTTTCCACTGATTTCAGTGGGGATAGGATTTGGCTTGCTATGGCTATTTCCATTTATGAAATGGCAGTAAACCCACCTACCTCAGACACTGTGAGACTTTAGGCTCCAACAGTGCATTGAAATAAAAGTCAGGAGCACCACCAACTCCAGTGTACATAAACTGGACGACATGCCTTACCTGAATAAATAAGTCAGTATATTTGGCTTTCTCTTTCCAGATCTACACTCATAAAAGTCACAGAAAATGTTGAGAGAGAGAAGTAGCTAGCTGTGTTATTCTGAAGTCAGACAGAAGTCAGGGTAGATATGCACCTTATAGATTAACTTGTCAGGCTCCCAAATTTCCATACCTGTGGGGAGCCCCCCTAGCTGGATCTGGAATGTGGAGCTGTTATTGGGCCCACGGGGCCAGAAATTTGGTGGCAGGAGAAATGGTCTCCCAGGCCAGAGCTCTGGGAGTCAGGTGTGCCTTTGAGACAGTTCCAGGGTGTCCTCATGCTTTAAGGAGTGCCCTTCAGTCCCAAGCCCCTCTCTGCCATCTGTTTCTGACCACTGAGAACAGACTGAGATGCTCCAAAAGTCACCTCCCAGACCAAAGACTCTTCAGCTTTATGCGCCTCACCTAGGTCTTCTCAGGTCTTAGCAGAAGGGATTTTGATAGCTAGAAGGATCATACTCTTGTCCAGTCATATACTCAGGTATGATGGAGTCGTTCCCCCCGCCCTTTCCTTGGAAGAGGCCTGTCTGTATGGTCAAATCATGTTTACCCACTGACTGTAGAAAGTTAGAAAAGATATAAAAAGGATTTAA